TAAATAAATAAATTATTTAAATAAAATATAATTATACAAAAATATTATCCCTTATATTTTTCACAAATGAAGCATACAGTAACCTCTAAATTGTTAAACCGCGCGAATAGCAGAAAAGCACGTGGATTACTGACGTGGTGGAAAAAAGTTTTGAAATCTCGCCCGCGCGGACTCAATTTTTTGTCCATTTATTTTCCCCCTTTGCCTATTTCACGATCCACACCACACCAAATCGAATTGTCTATTTCCTCCCTTTCTCGCTCGCGTCTCCTTCTCTTCCAAAAACCCTAACTCTCAGGTAACTTGCTGTAGCGACTCAGTCATGTTTGCACCCTTCTGACGGATCTTTAAACGATTCTCATTGATTTTGACTGTTTTTGGTGCAGGATTTGCCATGAAAAGGTGCTAGATCGAAGGCTGATTCGAAGGAAACTGACAGCAAGTGAGTTTATTCCTTGCTTTGCTTTGTTGTAACTTCAAGCGATTGCTTAACCATAGCGATTGCTTCGCAGATTTTAGTGTTAGCCTCTTCTGTTTACCGATGTCTTTTTTTTTTTGGAATTTTTTTCGTTAGGTTGAAGAGCAACAATGCAGCGGCTAGAAAACAAACTAAGAAGGCTGCGAAGGATCCAAACGAGCCGAAGAGGCCTGCCAGTGCTTTCTTCGTCTTCATGTATGAGTGGTTCATTACTTTCTATTTCTTTTAATTTTACTTAAATTTGTTTTTGGGGACTCATAATCTTCTGAAATGGAGTGGTTGATTTGGTTGATTTGTTCTATCATTACAGGAGACTAGTCATCAACAATTTGTTTTTGGGGACTCTGTTTTACATGATGAAAACAGAGTAAAACAGAGAGGACTTAAGGAAACAGCATACGAAGACCGGATGGGAACTTCAAGGCTTTACTGACATTGAAACCGGATGCCTGCACTATTTTCAATTGCACACAATCTTATATGCTTGGTTTGGAATTTGATAGGTTGCTTGCAGCTATATGTAATCCAGCACAAGATGATCAATCCATCATCCGTTTATCCATTGGTGATAGAAAATTGCGTCATTATTCAATCGGGTTTCCCACTTTTCTTACTAATTTTTCTTTGATTTATTTTAATTTTGTTATACTCTTCAAATTTCATATTGTTAATTGTTCTTTGTTTGAGAGTTGGTCGATTGGAGTTCTGCTTTGTGCTGATTTTTTATACAAATTAATAAAAATTGTAATTATTGTAATTTTGGATGCTCATATGACAGAAAACAATGGTGGTTAATTGTTTTTAATCATGTTATAGGTACAAAAAATTATAAATAAAATTGAATTATCAATAAAATTATAAATAAAATAAAATAAACTAAAATTGAAATATCAATTGTAAAACAAAAAAAAAAAAGGATTTATATTGATGGAAAAAGCTGTCGGTATATCATTGAAATTATCTGTCTGTAAATATGAGGGTTTATACAGATGGAAAATTTTTTAAGATTTCTCAAGTCTATACCAGCGGATAAGTCTTCCATCGGAATAGATCTAAAAGTATATACCATCGGATAAAATCTTCCATCGGAATAGACCCAAGGGTCTATACAGACGGAAATTCAAGAGATTTCTCAGGGTCTATACCAACGGATAAGTCTTCCATCGGAATAGATCTAAGGGTCTATACCATCGGATAAAATCTTCCATTGGAATAGACCCAGGGGTCTACACAAACGGATTAGGCGTTGGTATAGACCCTATACTGACGAGGTTTCCACCGACTGAAAGTTAGTCCGTTGGAATAGTCCTGGGGGTCTATACCAACGGAAAATGGGTCTATACAGACGGAAAAGTTCCGTCAGTATAGGTGCATCTCCTTGTAGTGTATGATGGATGTAGTGTAGTAAGACCAGTAAATGTAGCAAGATAAGTATTAAATGGATAATTTGGTGGGGCTAGTTGAGGATCATAATATACTTGTTGAGAATATAATATACTTGGTATGTCAATTTTGGACCAAATATTGGTTAAATGACAATTTTGGACCTCAACTTTACGATTTTATAATTTTTGTCCTTCAACTTTTTTATGCACATTTTTGGTTCTAAACATTAAAAAATACATTTTTTTAGTCATTCTATCAATTAATATGTTATATCTATTTAAATATACATAGTTTTTATCTTTCAATGTATAGTATATGCATGTTTTATGTCCCTCAATTTTTCATTTTAGGGACAAAAAAAGTGTATATAAATAGATTCAACGGATTAACTAACAGAATTACTAAAAAAAAGTACAATTTCATCATTGAGGGACCAAAGAAGTATATAAAAACTTTTGAGATGAAAATTATGCAAAATTTTAAAGTTAAGGGACAAAAATTAACATTTAACTTAAAATTTTTTATAAGACAAAATATACCTTCTAAGAGCTTCAAATGTCAAATGCTCAATCGTAATTCTAAAAGGGAAGAAGAAAAAAAAGAGAAGTTAGATATGGGATATTAAACATTTAGGTTTGCAAAAAAAAATAAAATTTTTTAAAGAAATGATCTTCTTACTCTTTTGTTTGTTTTGTAGAGCCTAGATGCTTGGATTTATAGTTTCAAAAAAAAAAATTTTTGACACAGAGTTAGATCTAATATTTATAACATGCAAATTTGGTAAAAAAATTAAAACTTTTTAAAGGAATGATCTTCTTACTCTTTTGTCTCTTTTTTAGAGACTAAATATTTGGATTTATAATTTCAAAGAAAAAAAAAAAGACAAGTAGTTAGACCTAGCATGTATAACATGCAAATTGGGAAAAAAAATTAAAATTTTTTTTTAAAAAATTGATTTTCTTACCTTTTTGTTTCTTTTGTAAGACTAAACTTTAATAAATATGGTTGAAATTTGAAATAAACAGTGGTGTCATGTTGCTTTCACAAAAAAGAAAGGAGGAGAAGTAAACAAATGCTTCAAAAAAACACTAGGCAAGAAAACTCAGATATGGTTTTGAAGGTAATGCCAATAATTTGTATCAACCCAAGTTTTGATGCAATGGTAAAAAATTATTGACGTCCATTCCATTAAAACATGTCTGAAGTATAGAGTACAATGAAATGGTATCATATCAGTAAGATATTATTTGTTCAGTTACTTTTTACCTTTTTTATAATTTTTCTAAAACATTGACCACAATGAATTGGGCTTTATCAGACTTTTGACTATATTTGCATCAACAACACTTATACTAATGTTTTTAAGTTGACATTGAATAATTTTTCTACGACAAACCTTTTTTGCATAAATAATATTGACATAAATAACATATATTTGCGTTAATATTTCATGTTGATGCTTAAAGTGTTGACACTTTTATGTTTACATTCTTGTAGTGATGGTTGCTAATGCCATCGTTAAGAGAGGTGTCGGCTCTCCTTTTGATTTTGTTGTTTTGTATAATTGTCCGTACGTATGATATGGATCTTCTTTGTACAGCTGGTTTTGTTGGGGTTTGGGTACCCCAGGACCTGATCTGTTCTGTTTTTAAGTTTAATGCAATTCTCTAATTGACAAAATATATATATATATATATGAGGTAGTGTTTGTCCGCCTTACCTCCAAAAAATTAGGAGAAAAAATAACAAAAATCACCTTAATGCATGCTTTAAAAATATAGTAGTTTAGTCTTTTTCAATAAAAATTTATTAAAACAACGTAGTTTTAAGATGATT